AGAAAATTTAAACCCATGGGTTGTCTCTGACCTCCTCATACATGCAGATAAACACATGTCTATATAAGTACATAAAATATAAATATTCAAAAATAACTCCTAAGAATCCTTTCTTGGGCAGTTAGACAGATCATGATGTCATTTACTGCATAATCAAAATAAAATAATCAGCAGGGATCAAGGTATGGGAGGATCAAGACAGGGTTCTATGGCCTATGGGTGTTTAATCTGGAAATGGTGGATCCATCTAGAACAGTCAAAGCAGACTATGAATTTAGAAGATTTAGGCATTAAAGTGGGTAAAACTATCTAAAGAAAACCTTTTAGCAGCAGAGAAGAAATTGAATGATAGAACTTTTGGAAACCTTAAATTTAGAAGAGAGGAAAGAAGTGTTGACAGAAATTTAATTAAAACCAATGCTTTCTCTTAACTCAGAATCTTGCTATAGAAGCAGGAGATTGAAAAGCAGGAGACTGATGAATAGGCATTACATGTGGGTGTGTTGTTATCAGCACATCTCTAAGAGATCTCCAAGGTGGAAGAAACCCAACATCTCTATGTAGCCAGGCAGAAACAGCCATTAGTTCTCAGGTGAAAGGACTTACCATTTGTCACACACAGTTCATCCTAAATTCCCTTGACCTGTGATGGCTATAGCCTCTATTCTACTGTGACACGGGCTAGCTTTGCACTTTGGAAAGATGCTATGGCCAGTTTAGGTTCCTCCCTGCTTGGGAAACCAGGAGAAAGGGGCATTACCAGATGGTAGTTCCTAGGCACTTGAAAAATACATTTCTAGATCATAAAGCTGACATTGACTTTTAAGCAAGAACATTTCAAAGAGACAGAACATACATAGGTTCCCTTAATGCTCCATGAAAAAGGAAAGGTAAGACCCAGAGAGAAGTAACTCTTTCCTGATTTGGCTTACCTTTGTCTAAGTAAAGGGAGTTATAGAATAAATCTAGCTGGGGTTGGCAATATGTAACTAAGAAATTAATTACAAACAGTGCTATGCTAAAAAACAAAAAACATAAACAATAACAACAAAAAACATAACAGCATGGTTGTAATCCTGGTACTTGGAATGCTGATGCTGGAGGGTCATAAATTTGAGCCCAAGCTGGGCTCCACAGAAAGACCCATCCAGTTTTAAAAATAGAAGGAAAAGTATTTTAGACTATCGGAGAGTAGCATTGTTTGAAGGAGATTGCATCTTGCTGATAGAATAAAACTGACATTTAAAAATAATAAAAAGTAAAAATTTTAAGTAAATATACAGATTACATACCTATTTATTGTGTGTTTGTGTAGTCCAGACTGTAAGTCTAGACATGTAATGAGCAGGAGTCATTGAGATTCTAGTTAGAGAAGGACTTGTGCAAGTGAAACTTGCTTTGGGTTTTGAGAAAAAGGTTAGGGAGTAAAATATATGTTAATATTTTCCATCTATCTAGTCAAACAGGTCTCTGTAACCATCTCTGTAGTAAAATCAGGCTTGACCATAGTGACCTAGTCCACTGGCGACCCCCTTGGGCTGTGACACCATTTTCCTTTGCTTTATATTTTCTGTGTTCTTTCATAATTACCCCCTTCCAGATACTTAACAACTTCAGTTACATTCCTGGCTAGAAGCTACATTTCCCTACTATTTGCAATCTGGATTCATCTAAAAGAACAGCTTAGGAAGAGCAGCTCACTTTTTGGTTCTTAGAAAAACTTCTCAGTTAACACCCAGTGCTGCCAACAGAAACAAAAATTAGTGTGCTAAGATTTTTCTATATGTCAGAGGGTCTAAGGACCAGGTTTTCTGGTTCTATAGGAGGACCCACCACTCAATATTTCACTGTGCTCATTGCGGGGAGAGCAAATGGGAAGTTCTGTAAGTCAGATCACAAGCTTGCCAAGACCCCACCCCCCAGTGGAGACAGCAGTGCATATCCATGTCTGTCAGGAGAACCTCGGTGCCAGTGTTTATGGTGACTAGTTTCATAGGCACCATCTGCCTGGTGTGTAACAAAATCCCAGACTCCAGGAAGAAAGCACATACCAACTGAGTTGCATTGTGTGTGTAAACGGCGGTAAGCCACATCCCACATCCCACACCTCACACACACACAGCCCCTGAAGTAAGTTCCCAGTTCCAGCCGAGAGTCAGCATTGCACAGGAGCCTTCTGAGGACAACCTCAGCCTGCTGTGCCGATGCCTTCTGTATCCCCTGGGAGAGTTTGTCGTTTGTTTGTTTGTTTTCCCCTTCAGTATGATGAGTTGTCACATCAAATAACTCATCTTTTAAATGATTTCTGTATATTGCAGGTATGCCCCAGAATCCCTGACAGAGAGCAAGTTTTCTGTGGCCTCGGATGTGTGGAGCTTTGGCGTGGTTCTGTATGAACTTTTCACATACATTGAGAAGAGTAAAAGTCCTCCAGTGGTCAGTTCTCTAATTGCTTAATGCTCTCCAAGCCCTTCCTATTGCTCTTGTTTTAAGCACAAGAAAGGCATTACACAAAAAAGAATAACACGCCCAGGGCCTACTTTAGAATCCCTTGTTTATCTGGTGACAATATTCAACAATACCCAACAAAATAGCATAAACTTAAATTCAGTGTTCTCTTGGCCATATGTCTATGACTGTAACAAAATACATAACACTGAGGACTTCATAAAGAAAAGGGCTAACTTAGCTCACAGTTGATTGAAAGGCCAGTATCAATGACCCTTTGGATTCATCACAACATAGCAAATAAGCAGAAAGGGACTGACCACAAAAAAGATCACATGTCAAGACTTGAGACCAAGAGCCATGAGGCCAGGATTCCACTTCCTATGAAAAAGCTTGTTTTCCCAGGAGCTGGAACACTCAGGGAGCCCAGCAGTGATCTCTCAAAGAGCCCACTATTCCAGCACTGCCAGGGACCAGGCCTTCAGGACGCCTCTTAAATGGCATTTAAAGTACATTAAGTATGCACATTTACTCTGGAGCATCACACAACCTAAATGAACTTTCAGAAGTAACTTATGCTGTTTGTGATAGGTTTCTTTCAATATATGGAATATGAAAAAAATAATCATTTTAATACTGTGCCATTCTCTCTCTCTCTCTTCTTTCTTTCTTTCTTTCTTTCTTTCTTTCTTTCTTTCTTTCTTTC